TATATATATATATATATATATATATATATATATATATATATATATATGTATATATATATATATATATATATATATATATATATATATATATATATAATATATATATATATATATATATATATATATATATATATATATATATATATATATATATATATATATATATATATATATATATATATATATATATATATTATATATATATATATATATATATATATATATATATATATATATATATATATATATATATATATATATTATAATATATATATATATATATATATATATATAGTATATATATATATATATATATATATATATATATATACATATATATACATATATATATTATACTATATATATGATATATATATATATATATATATATTTCTCTCTTTATTTCTTATATATACTACTTCTTTCTTTCTCTTTCTTTTTTTTACTGTCATATTTTTCGACAGGTCCATGCGGGAATGTGGCGCAGAAATGGCTTCTCCCTCATCAACCAGATCTACTTCTACCACAATGTGAGGTGCAGGCAAGAGATGCTGGATCGTGATGTGATGCTGCTGCAGATTGCAGCCACATTGATTGACTCTAATGAGTTTTTGGTGCACCTTCTGAACCGTTTCAACCTCATGAGTTGGGCACAGGAGGACTATGAAATGAAGTATCTTAGGGTGAGTGTTGTTCAATTTTGGTGTGCTGCTTTTAGTTTTTGAGGTGACACTTCCTAGTTTAGCTTTATTTTTAGTTTGTATTTTTTTCTCCCTTCTAGAATCCACATAAGTCTTTCTAGCTCACTGTTGACTAGTTTTTCCCGGGGCAAAAGTAGCTTCTCCATTGTTTGATTTTAAGGGTGACCTCAGGTCATTCTATGGCCAATCTGTTGATTGTATCAAGTCTCAGACACACGTCTCCCATAAACATAACTTCATGAAAGAGCTGGGAAGGGGCATGATGCCTGTCTAATTTATAAAGCGCATGTCTGTTTCACTCTCTCTCTATCATAACCGCATTGTATTCAAGTTCTCTTTAGTTCTGTCATCTCTAAGATATTTTAAAAGAAGCATTAAGATCTAACACTAAGTAGTATTTGAATGAAGATTCTCTAAATTATTAACCCTAATTCTGAGTTAAGAATGGATTGAGTGGATATAGTGGTCTGAATTTCTAAAACCTTTCCCTACAATAAGCAAAGAGACTTGTAGCTTCTTAGCGTGTGGCTAAACCCCATGCTTTATTATACCTAAAAGAAGCATAGAAATTGAAGATAGTACACTATGCAGTTTGTAAGGAAACTGAGTCATCTCAGGATGATGTTGAGGATGGTGTAGCGGGTAAAGCGCACGCCACTACCGCCACCCCCCACCGTGCCTTCCGGGTGTTTAGGCAAGTACACTTGGTGCTGGTGAATTCAAGCAAGCTAGTGAGTATTGAAGTGTCTTTCCCACTGTTCCCAATCATAACAAATGCCTTTGGTGATATGGAAAAACAATATTAAAATTATCAGCACTTTTCTTTCACTGCTCGCCCTAATTCTCCGCTTGAGCACCGTGCAAGTGTTTATGCTACATATGTATATATTTTTGGGGGGTAAAATTTGAGTGTGGTGTAGTGTAACAAATCAGGGAAGCAATTTGTGAATGCAGAATTTATTTGTCATCATATTAATAATGTGTATATAGTATTGAGGAGATAAAATTTTTTGTAAGTACTTGTTATATGTTAATACTGCTTTCTGGGCATCTTGCCACCCAACAGTTCAGTTGACCAACACCAATCTTATCAATTTTAAGATACTTTAAATGATGCACATATGTGCTCAGTTATGCAAAATAAAAGGCTAAAGCTGTACGCTTTACTTCTTCAGGCACTATAGAATGCTTGCTATTGAATCCAGTTATATTTCCTATTGAAATCTTTTGTTCAGTTCTGCAGTTAAGTATGTGGACTAGACAGTTTGGAGGGAATCATATATTTTAGACAAATTGTGAGTTCCTCAAGTGAAGAATTACTAAATGGATCTCTTTGTAGAGTATCTGTTGTCAAGTGGAAAGTTGGTGCCTTGATGTTTTTGTTTCCTTCCAAAGAAAAACTAGCTTATGACATGGTTTTTGTGTTTGATTCTCCATTTACAAAGGTTGCAGATTTCATGGGACTTGCTTTCTGCTTTGGGTATATGTATGTTTTGATTAATTAATAATTTAGGTGATTGTAGGGTAGTAGGTGTTGTTATTAAGGTAGATCCTAATTAGAGTTCTTGAAGTTAGTAATACTATTTTTTGCATGGATGGGTAGCATGGGATTAGTTTAAAGTAAGAGTCTTTCATATCAAGATGAAAGTGATATAAAATAATTTTTGTCAAACAGGATACATGTAATATCAACTGTTATAAAAACAAACACAAAGGATTAGGTGAACTTGTTCAGAGTATCTTTACATTTAAAGTGACCAAAAAGTTTTATACCTTGCTGTAGGGAAATCCGGCGGGAA